TCATTAAAATGGTTCTGGAATGTTGCAATGAAGCTTTTGAGATGATCCCATTTTTATTTACAATTGACTAGCTCAACTATTCAATAATTACTCTTCTTGTTTTGTTTGACTCTCCGTTTTGCAGTCTGTTTAATGATGACAAATATAACAAAAAAAAGAATGTAAAAAAGAGAGCGAGAGGGGAGGAAAAAACATAAAAAAATAAATATGATGACTCCAAAACTCTCCAACCACTCTACTGAGGATGATTAAACCACAAACTTGTTGAAAACGATGACTAAATGTCAGGTTAATTTAAATTTGATGGGTTCAAGTCTACCCCTTTGCCTCTTTCCATCTCACCCCTTTGTACTGGGAGCAGACAAAAACAGTCCCACCATTCTGGGTGTGCTGTAAAGCTTTTCAAGGTACGCAGCGTGGATTAAATTAGAATGACAAGGATGCTGAGGGCCTCGTCCTTCATCATCTCGTCCTTGCTCCCTCTCTCTCATTTGTCCTTTTTCCCTTGCCTCTGCACTGGTCAATTACTGTAGCCAAAGAGGCTCTTAAGGATCCACCGCTGAGCCGAGAACGTTCATCAACTGCATCGCCAATTACTAGGACGCAGCACAGCACAACATATTCACAAACTATTACTTTACCGTTCAGATAGAAGGTCACATTAAGAGAGATGATTCATCTCCAGAAATATTACAGTGTCTACAGACTCTTCCTGCAGTGATGGGAAAGTGTAGTGAAGACAACCACTTTTGTCCCTATTAGATTATTGATTAGAAGTAACAAAGATTAAAGGAGGAAAAAAATGGTGGTTCACGTAAATGAAAATGAAAGAGTTCAATTTAGAGCTAAGCAGGTTGGTAGTTTGTAAGTAATGAGAATTTATGCCCGCATAGGCATTCAGTTTAATAAATGTTAATAGGTTAGTGCAACATAATTACTCTTCTTTCAGCTGATCACTATCCTCGGCTACAGGCGAGTATTAAAGTGGAATACCTTCAATTCAATTCAATTTTATTTATATAGCGCCAAATCACAACAAAAGTTGCCTCAAGGTGCTTTATATTGTACAGTAGATCGTACAATAATAGATACAGAGAAAAACCCAACAATCATATGACCCCCTATGGGCAAGCACTTTGGAGACAGTGGGAAGGAAAAACTTCCTTTTAACAGGAAGAAACCACCGGCAAATCTGCTGCGACCAATTGGGATGAGAGAAGGAAAACAGGATAAAGACATAATGTGGAAGAGAGAAAGATTTATAACAGATATGATTCAATGCAGAGAGGTCTATTAACACAGAGTGAGTGAGAAAGGTGACTGGAAAGGAAAAACTCAACGCATCATGGGAATCCCGCAGCAGCCTACGTCAATTGCAGCATAACTAAGGGA